TACCCCTATGATATGAATATTATTCCATTTGGATTGGTCACACTTTTGTCTCAATATTCTTTCATTCTTAGAGATCTTTTTTTCTCTCTGTGCCTCAGCTTCTTTGTATTCCTCTTCTCTAATTTCTATTTCATTCATCGTCTCCTCCACCATGTCTAATCTGCTTTTAAAACCTTCCATTGTATGTTTCACTTCTGATACTGTGTTCTGTAATGATTGGATCTCCAACTGGAATTCATTCCTGAGTTCTCAAATACTTTTGTGTACCTCCATGAGCATGTTTATGATTTTTTTTTTGAAATCTCTTTCAGGAAGATTCATGAGATCGGTTTCATTTGACTCTTTTTCTGGAGTATGTAGGATTTTGCTTTGAACCAGGTTCCTTTGATGTTTCATACTTGTATGTGGTGCTCTCTAGTGCCCAGAAGCTCTACTCTCTGGAACTCTTCAGCCCCTGGAGCAATTTTGCAGGTCACAGGAGAGCTGTGTTGGTGCCTGGGGGGAGGAAAAAGCTGTTTCCTGCTTCCCGGCTGCTATGCCTGTGTCCACTGCCAGAACCAGAGGGCTGAGCACACAGGTATAAGCCTCTATGGTTTGAGTTTACAGCTGCTGTAGGGGGGTCTTCCCTCTGGCTTGCCTGACACCAGAGCAGGGTTTGCTGGTTGCAAGCCAACTGCGGGCTGGCTGGGAGGAAGGCACAGCAGGCTGCGTATCACTGAGGGGGCCCTTGGAGCTGTGTAGCCAGCCAGGGAGATGGAGTGCCTGTGGCTCCTGAAAGTTCCCAACCTGCTCGGCCAAGTGAGCCCAGACAATTTTGTCTACCTGTCCTTTCTCCTGAGCAGTAAGCTCTGTGCAATCCTTGCCCCTTTAGCAGCCCTCTCCCTATTAGGAAGTCTTTCAGACTGTCTGCCTTTCTTTTGTCCCAGTGCAGCCAGATATGGATCCTTGCTTTCCACAAGCAGCTGGAATCTCAGTCTCTCCAGGTATTCTGCCTGTCTCAGCTTTCCATCCCCACAAATCATGAGAGCACATGCAATGTAGGTTTGTGCTCCCAGAGCAGATTTCCAGAGCTAGGTGTTCAGCAGTCCCAGGCCTCCACTCCCTCCCTGCTCCATTTCTTTTCCTCCTGCTGGTGAGCTGGGGTGAGAGAAGGGCTTGGTTCCCACTAGGTCATGGCTTTAGTATGTTACCCTGTTCTGTGAGGTTTATTATTTTCTCCAGGTGTATGCAGTCTGATGCAGCCTTCTTTCCTGTTGCTCTTTCAGGATTAGTTGTGTTAATTATATTTTCGCATTATGTGTGGTTTTAGGAGGAGGCCTCTATTTTACCTCTCATGCCACCATCTTTAATCCTTCTCCCTGTTAGGTATTTTTTCACTTTAACTTGTCCTGCTAGTATGGAAAATTTAATTCTTGACCCAAGTTTAGCTTACTTTTTCTCCAATATGATATTGCAATTTATAATTAGGTTTTCACTCAGATTCAAGCTCATCCAGAAATCCATGAGTCTTAGCTATTTTGTAGTTTTCCTTTTCTCAGCATTCTCACACTCCCTGTTTCTTCCTTCTGTTTTGTCTCATACAGATGCTGACATCATAAAGGTCTTGGGGCTTGTGGTGGTTTATCATCACCAGCTCATATTTAGGGGTTTTAGAGTTTATAAGGAAATCTTGTCACCTAGGTTTGTTGTAAATGTGCACGGATTTGGGGGTTTGCAATTTAATTGCTCTGTTCTTAATATGGGGGTTTGGAAAGATAAAAAATATCTTCTGCCAGCTTCTCTGCCATGCCATCTGCCCAGTATCTTTACATTTACCATAAAGGTGGGATAGTGGTGGATGTTCCTACTTATTAACTATATAAATATATAACAATTATCTTGGAAGATGACAAACAACAATAGATATTGCTATTAAGAGAAACATGACAAAGCACAAAATGAATCCTTTTTCAATGAAGATCTATGTACAGTCAAGGTAACATTGTTTTCATTATAATTCATCTTGCAGCATTTACCATATGATGACAAGGATAATTCTCACATATGGACATAATTTATCCTCTTTTATCAATTGTATGTTCATAGAGTGTAGTGGTTCTAATGTCATCATCATATTGACCTCCAGTACTCAGGAAAAGTGTACTAATGCAGCTCAGTAAATGTTTGTTGAGTGAATGAATGTACTAATGAATGCATAAATTGATTAAAATTCTTTTTCTTTGATTAATAGTAAACTCACATGTCTTTGGGCAGATTATCTATACATCTTGGAGTTATCTTGTATGACAGTCCAAAACCACTTCAGTGAAATATCTGCTTTATTGATATATGAACTACTATTTTCTCTGAGTGCTGATTCCCAAACAATACAATAAGTGTTATGTTACATAGAAAAACTAAGAGCAGATAGAACTTAGAGTACTCTGTTTTCTTCCTCGAGGCAAGTAGAGAACAAGATTGAGTTTGGAATTAGGTTGTGGAAGTGGGCTCCTTTCCAGATATGCCTGTGTCAGATCTTCAAAATGCAGCTTTATTATTCTGTTTAAAGTGAGTTCTTACCCTATGAAATACACACCTAATGATGCATATATAAATGTTACCATTACTGGCTAAGTTAATTTTGCATTATTTAAAGTTTCACTTATTTTAATTAATTTTTTATTGAAATATAGTTGATCTACAGTATTACTGGTTTTAAATATGAAACACAGTGATTCAACAGTTATACATATTATTAAATCCTCACCCCACCTAGTGCAATTACTACCTGTCAGCATAGAATGATATTACAGAACCATTGACTATATTATCCATGCTGCACTTTCATCCCAGTGAACCAGCTTATATTATGATTGAGATTATTGTGCCCCTTTAGATTAACCACTTATTCCTTATGAGAATAGAAGGATGACTGTTAGTGGTGTCATTAATTGAAAAAAAAATAATTAGCTTATAACTATTCTTATACTCATTGGGCAGATTTTAAAAAAGGCACTGGGGCTCCTGGGGAGAGAAAGAAGATGCCTGTTGTAGGAGGGATATGGGATATAATTGAACACATATGTCATAATGGAAGAACTTCAGGCAATTTGGAGCCAAAGAATATGGCAACCAGAAGGAACCTCAGAACTCATTTGTTAAAAACATTCACAGCTCATATTTTGAGGCCCACAATGCTTAAAAAATTAAGTCAAAATTTCATACAGAAGCAGAACTGAAGTTAGAATCTGGATCTCCTATTCAATATTCTTTCTCCTTCATTCCTGAATTTGTCCCATACCAAGTATGTTTTGATTAACTTTCTTCTGGTCTAGATTATTAATGCCTGAAAACCAGACAAACAATATTCTAGAAAAAAATTTCTACAGGAGCCAGATAACAGAAAATATTATAAAGTCCACTGAGCTTAAGAAGATTGTTCCATAATTGAGATGTGGCATGATATGGACTGGTGCCATCTATGCTTCCCACTTTGTACTAAACAACTCAACATCTCTCTGAAATGTCTAATTCTAGATGGAAAATTCTATTAATTATGATTCTCAAATGGCATCACTTACAATCATCTTTATCATGCTTACCTTCAAAATACGATATATAATTCTATCACCCCTGAGTCCAATATGGACCCAAACAGCAGTAGTAGGTTACAGTTCATATGCATTTTTTCTTCGTTTTTGTCACTTCACTTTAAAGATGTTTTATGTACGTAGCACAAGGTTCATGCATTCTGAAATCTAAAACCTGAAAAGACATACACTTTCAGCTTCAAAATGTTTATCATTCCACTCATAAAGATCATATCTATTTGGCCTACATGTGACCACTTAAAAAAGTGCTGTCTTAATGGAGAATGCTTTTTTTTAAAAATCTTGACTGAAATTTTAGAATATACAACACAGCTAAAATATTATTCTCTATTTTAAGGTACGTTATTAAACCTGATAATTCATGCTATTAAAATATTGCACAAGTGAAATGATCTATGGCTCATCATGGCTGTATTTATTTTCCTTAGCACAATCTTAAAATGTTTAATTCATCACTATTTTAGATTTAACCATATTGTTTTTTATAGCTCAGAAGGAAAGATAAATATACCTTTCTTACAAAGATTAACATAGAGAGTTCCCATATTTCTTTCATCTGTCTTTTGTTGGTCTTTTCCTTTTAAAATTACCTGCTTTTTCTAAAATTCAAATAGTACAAAAAAATAAGGTGAACATTACAATGTACTCTATTGTCATTCTCCAAATTTTCAGCCTATAAATAATCACAAATAATATTCTTATAGGTATCACTAAAATGTTGTAAGCATACGCAAACAGGTATGTCATTTCCCTACAAATGGGTTCCTACTATATACATCAATCTGTAACTTGACAAATCTACCTGTCTCTATTTTGAGGATATCTGTCTTGGAATGACCTCATTTTTTTCAATAACAGGCATACTTTAAACTCTAATTTAACTGAAAATAAATTTAAGCTGCTGGAGATACTTACATCAGAAGAACAAAGTACTGAGAGTAGTATATGAGCAATCTGAAGTTTCAATTTAGTTAACCATACTTTCCATATTGGAAAGTTATGACTGGATTTGCAATAATGATGTTAAATGATATCACTTTGAATTATCATAAACACTAATGTCAAACTCTCTCTTCCTCAAATCTAAATTGATGTTTCATATTGTATCTGTGTTTCCTTTTGAAAAATTGAGTTTCTTCAGATATTAACATCTTCACTAAAAACTGAGACCCAGGAAATGGTTTAGGACAACAGAAATGGAGCTCATAAGAACATAGGGGACAGTGGAATTGATGAAAGAGGACCCAGTGAAGAACACTTTCAACTTTTAGAGCTGTGGGATAATCTGTGAGATCCTATTACTATATTTGCCATGAAAGAAGAGGAGGTAAGTGAAAGTTATATTAGTACATTTTGGCATTAGTTGGACTAACTGGTATATGCTCAAGCACTCTTTTCACTTATATTGTGAGAAGAATTTTCCAATGGCTAGAAACCCTACCATCTACTTAGTGGTTGGCATGATGGAAATGCTGTACTTCTTTATGGAGATTAACCAATTCTGAAAAACAATAAATGAACTGTGAAGAGTTTCATGGGCAGGAACTCACCACTCTCATTCAAAAAGCTATCCCATATTTTTAGAGTTTTTCTTTTCACATAAAAACCTAATAATACCATTTTTGTAAATGCTTGTTTTCTTGTCATTCAGCTAAAGAAAGCTCACCAGGTTAAATTGGAAAATTAAGGAAAAGCATATTTTCTCATCATATAGATGTCCACAGATCGCCCAATTTCATTTAGAGTATTTTTAGTGTATGTAAAAATGAACTCTGGGCCATTGTTTTTAAAAAGATAGAACATTCCAGAAATCCCCTGGTACAGATCATGTTATTAACCAATTGGTACAATGTATTCAAGAGACATGGGATTATTTGTATGAAAACTTACAGCCAAAGAATTTATGGCAATAATATAAACTCATGAATGTCCTGTTCTGCCGGTGGGGACTTCTCTGCAGTAGCTGGATGACTGATGATGTGGCAGAGTGTGATAACAAGGAGAGCTGCTTCCATAAAAATGAAATCATAACAAGCTAAAGAATAAATCCTCCATAAGAAGTCTCTTAAAGTGACGATTTAGTTTACTTGTTTTCTTCTAAGGGGATTCCATCATCTACTTTTTCCACCCAATGTACAAATCAAGTTTACAATATTTCTGGTCCTAGATCTTCAAATACTATAAGCAAGATAATTTTACAAATGTATTATTTTAAAGTAAACCTCTTTACAAAGTAATAATATAAATTGAAGACAAATGTACTAAATATGGGGGTCTGGGACTAGTATACTCAAGGAAAGCATTTTCAGATACAATTATGCATCATTAGTCATGGAAGAGTCAATGTTTCTTGAATTTACTGCAAAGTCTGGTGATTCTACATTATTAGTCCAGGGGATCCCAGGGTATGGAATGTTTAACCTTTAAGTTATGAGTAAAAAAAAATCTCTTCATGAAATCAAACATCCTATGAACAGAAAACTAGGAAATATTACATACATAGAGGATAATTCTAACTTTTGCTAATACACTGAAGAGCTCAGATTACCTATGAAGAAAGAATAATTAAGTATGTCCTAGAAGATGTGAGTTCTAGTAATAGGTTCTTCACAATTAACAAAGTGAATCCCATCTCTTCAAGTATGTTCAACTTAAGGTTAATTTACAGTTTAATACTGAAGAGGCTAATACAAATACTTTCTTTATAACTGTCTAAATATTCTTGGCTAGGGTGAGAATTAAAATTTTATCTGAGCTTAATTATGATGCAATAACTACTAAGACTTGAAGAAAGCATGTGATGCTGCCTAAGCCAAGGGAAAAAAAAGGGTTTCTGGCACTAGACGCTGGAGTGCCAGTAAAGGTGCCAACTTCCAAATAGAGAGTGGAGGTGGTCTTTGACACCCATATCAGCAATATGAATCTATTCATTTTTCTAGTTTTTAAAAATTCCCATTATTTGGATACTCTGCAATAGCTATTATAAATACTGTACAAAACTTACTCCTTGATCCTCAAAGATGTTAAAAATATATACATCACTATACATTAATATTAACTTTTCATTTTAGACCATTTCTCAGCATTCTCACTAAATTGAAGTGCTATCCTATTCAAAGCAATTGAATTTTACTACACCATGTTAGTTTGACATTTGCATGCATGTGTGAATTTGTTTTTTAACTCAGTGTGCATATTAAGCAGGGTGACCATATTCTAGGTTGTCAGGTTTCTAATTGTTGTCCTGTTATATTTAGTAAGAGTATCCCTTTCATTCTCAAACACCTTTGGATGATCAAATCATGTGGGCCCCTGGTGTGTATACATAGATATTTTTTGTTCCTTTAGTTTACCTGGTTTCTCACTTCAGAATTCAAGAAACTTGCTTATAAGGCTGAAGTCTCTGTTATACACTTAAAACACTCACTGAAAACAACAGAGTCCTTTAAGCCATGATAGAATGCATTAGCCATTCCATGTTAATTATGATAGTATTGCTGCTGCAGGTAAAAAATCTAACTGAAAATATGATGCTAAATTACATAGGGGAGTCAGGTGTACAAACTACCAGGTAATCTCTCTCTCACACACACACACACACACACACACACACACACACACACACACACACACACACACACATATACACACCACAGTTATGAGAAGAGAAACTGCTCCCTTCTCCAAGCACCAACTCTGACAAGGTTAATTTAAGTAAAAAGAGATTTCTAAAGAAATGTTCCATTGAAATGAATCACACATTAGACCAGTGAGCCTTAGAAATAATCTGTTCCTATATTATTTATAAGAAAAGTAAAAAAATAATTTGGGATTTTCCTTATGCACCAGTCAAAGCTTCTGAACACAGAATGTTTGTGGTACATTGTCCATGTACAGTGGGTGCTCAATGTATAATGAATCAATGAATGAATGAATGAGTGAAAATGCTGAGTAGGGGTAACATTTTTATTCTATATCTCCATTTCAAACTTATTTTTCCCAACAGAAAATAATACTGTAAAAGGTAGATCAGTTCCATATTTCTTCATTATAATTTAAAGCATATAACCATTTTACTTTGGACTTACTGTATATTAATCTTAAAGTAAGAATGCTTGAGAATGCATTACAGAATATAGGAGGAAAAAAATACTTGACTGCTTACAGCCAAATACTATCTTAAATATAAAAATTGTTAAAAGATGAAAAAATATGTATAAAGGCTATTTTATTTTTTCTGATGTTTTATTTTTGCATTTAAATTAATAAAGTATTGTCTTCTATTCTCAGAATTTGCTTGTAACTAGCCCTTTAGAATCACTTTAAAAGCTAACCTATTTCAGAAGAGGTATGTTAATACCAGTGACGTGTCAACTTACTTACTTAATCTGCCTTTCAAGCATATAAAAGAACCCCTTAATTTGCCATGAGAATCCAGACTGTGTAGCCAGTACTCTATTTTTTTCTTTTAATGGCAAGTAATAAATGCAAATTATAAGCATGCCAATGCATGCTTAAAATTGTATCTCTGATTTCCCTATACTGCACCAGTGAATGGAGAATCACCTCTTATAGTCAAGTGTTACAAATAGGCTAACCTGAAATAGTAGGGTTTAAATTACCTGGTAAGTATTTATTATATTTGAGTGGGAGGAAAAGTGCAGTTGTACCCATTCTCTATGGCCTTTATCTTCATGGATTGGAGCTAAGATAGATTTGGATACATGATCAGTTTGTACTAAAGCTAGGCTGCCCCTTTCCAGTAAACTGAGCTTTAGTATGAGATAGGGGATATCAGCTCTTATGTGGTTTGTGAAGTCTGTCTTGAAATTTTTCACTTTTGCTTTAGTTATTTTTTGGTCTAGAGTGTTGGTTTATTTTCATGCTTAATTTTTCTGTGTTTACCAGCTGAAAGGTTTGATTTATAATGAAATATTTGCAAGCAGTATGCACAGTACCAAAGGTTGTACCAGGTGGCTGCCAGAGACTGAATGCAAAATGTTCAAGGATAAAATAAGCCTTTTGGAGGATAGTTGTTGCCATGGAAATGGAAGTTAACTAGGAAATATGTTTTCATAATGATAATGCTTTGAATTTATGTATAGTTCCTTTTCTTAGAATGTTTAGAGCACTTAACCTCTCCCTCTATTTCCTGATATTTGTCACATTTCAGGTAGTTTTTACAAAACTAGGATAGACAAAAGAAAAATGCTCTAAATTTACTATTTCTCAGATATCAACAAGAGCCACCAGCCTCAGGGTCCAGGGAACTATCAGGTGTGGCACATAAATTGGTATGTGGATTCAGACTTTTTCCATTTACAAATCTAACTCTTGCAGCTAAGATAAAATTAGAAATGCTAGTCTAAGCACGGTTGTGTTGGGTCAGTAATGATGAAAGGTTTCCTAAAAACGCCCAGATGCCTGAATAGCAGAAAAATGCCGATTGCATATACACTCAGACTTCACCAATGGGGCCCTCAGTCTCCCTATTGACTTTCCTGGTAATTTTTTTTGTTCCCAACTCCAAAAGGAGAAGCCTTCTTTTAATGTCTCACACATGTGTGCATCAAGACTATATGAATAATTTCAAGAAACAAAACTCATACCATAGCCAAATTCCCCAGAAACCATGAACCCATAAAGAACAATCATTGCAGCCAAAAGAAAATCCATCTCACCTCAAAATTAACTATTATTTCTTTGTTCATTTTTTCATTGTGCCAGAGAATAAATAGTTCATGAAATGAAAACTATATATAAATTTTTCTATTTAGTACTTAGAAAAGATAATGAAAACCTTGAGAGGGAAGGGAAATCATATAAATATTTTTTTAAAAAAAAAATGCTTTGGAAAACGACATAGAACTATTTTTTTAAAAAGACAGTTAATAATGCCTCTTAAAACCTCTGAGCAAAAGGCAATGCTCTTGCAAACCCATCCCCTGAGATGGAAAAGGTTAAAGTAATTTTACAGGAGCACACTAAGAGGTTCATGGTAAGATGAAGGAGAAGCAGGCATCTGCCCCCAAGCCTGCTTTCCAGCACAGTCAGATTCACTCCCAGGAGTACAGGGAAAAGCACCTGACCATTATCTGTTTTCCCAAACAGCTTTCTTACACTATTATGTACTTTTTTCATAGTTGGAATGAAAGATATTTTCTACCAAGGACAACTCTGCTTATAATTAACCTTTAGGACTTACATTTTTCAACTCTAGGGATAAAGTTAATGTTAAAAATCTTTTGTTATAGGATCACAGGAATATAAAAGCTGGAGTGAATTCCCCTCTAGCCAATCTGAATGTAAGAAGTCACTGCTTGCTTTCTTTTGGGGCAAGAAAGTGCACTATTGCCATGACCCAAAGGTTTTCTGTTTTATTTGAATTTCTCTAGGTAATTCTGTACTTGATCCATGTTGGCAATATAGATAGAATGACTGGGAATACAGGGCTTAAGTTTACTAGCAATAGGCCTATAAAATGTGAAGTGTGCATTTTTT